TAATAACTTGTAACTTTTTTTTGGTTGGGTAAAAAAATTTGAAAAAATTCTGAAAATTGTTTTCAATAGGGTAGAGAAAGATACCAAAATTTCAGAAAAATCGAAAAGGGTTGGTGTCAAAAGTGGTCGATTTGGCATGGAATGCCCCATATAAAATAAAATCTATAACTCGACAAACAAAACGTTTTGTCAAAAAAAGCTTGTCCGTGTCCAGTCCGTAAATATACTAAAAAAACACAAGTTTAGATGTAGATAACAATTTCTGGGTTAGTTTGAATGGACCGTGACTAAAAATATACTTGAGTTTCTATTTATAAATTTATAAACTCCCGTATATTAGATCGAATTCCCGCTGTCAATTAGACACGGAGTCAATAATTTAAATTAGTAAAGTGGCCTTGTGGAAGTTGAGTGCACTTAAGGCATTTCTTCACGTCCATTCGATTCAATTTGATTGGATTGTACTGGGGATACCTGTTTGGAAGGACTGCGGAGGATTACCTGGAGTCAGAAGGACTTCTGCTCGTTCAAATACCTTCTTTTATAAATACCCGGATTTATTTATAGAAGTTAAAAATAACAAATTTATAAACTTTAAATAAACATACCTTAAATTATCAAACCGGCATTTCAACGATTATGATAATAATAACAATAGTAATCAAACGAGTTTCTTCTCTGGAGAGGGAATCCTTCGCCAGGAGGAACATAAGGTTTACAGTCTTTTCTGTAAAATCTTTCAACCTCCGGTCGCTATGCAGTGAGTATTTTTCTGTTTTCGGCTCCAATTTTCCCTTATCGCACGATTTCATTCTTCACTTTGTTTTCTTCTAGGAAAATATTGGGGAAGATGATCCAGTTGGTGATTATTATTTGGGTCGTAGTATCCAGCTGTCAGGCTGCAGACAACGATAAACTCTCGCAGTGGTCGTTCGAGGAAATCGGCTGCGAAGGGTTCTACGATAAAAAAATGTTCGAGAGTCTAGATAATGTCTGTCAAGAGTGTCATGGGTTGTACCAAGAAGCTATCGTTTATAATACTTGCAGGTAATTTTTTTAGTTTATATTTATGATGCTAAAATTTTTTTTATTTTTATAATTATTAAAAAAATTTCAAAAAGAAATTTAAAAAAATTTTAAAGTGCGAATTTTTTTTTAATTTATTTTTTATTAAAATTATCAAATTGTATTTATATTAATAACTAATATTTTTTTTTTTTATTAAAAAAATTTCAAGAAGAAATTTTAAAAAATTGAAAGTGCGAATTTTTTAAAAGGTCATGAGCGACTACGGTAGGAGGTACACTTTTGAGATTGGAACTCGTTTGTATTTCTTGGGCTGAGCAGAATAATATACACTTAAATATTGAAAATATTCATTGGTGTACGCCGGATTCGAACCCGGTCCAATGCTTTGGTAGCAAGGGCCGGATCCGATAGGCTACTGCGCGCCTTTTTAAAATTTATTTTTTATAAAAATTGTCAAATTTTATTTAAGTACATTAATATTTAATGTTGTTTTTTTATCATGACCGAATTGTATATGTATATAATGAGTGTTCTCATGCCATCTAAGTCAAATAACTAGTAGATGTTGTTCAAGTCAAGAGATGGATACTCCCATCTTCCCTTATGTAAAGAGAGGATATCTCTCGACCAATAAGGGAAGATGGAAGTATCCATCTCTTGACTTGAACAACATCTACTAGTTATTTGACTTAGATGGCATGAAAACACTCATTATATTAATATTTAATATTTGTTTTTATTTATTAAAAAAATTTCAGGAAGAAATTTTTAAAAATTAAAAGCGAATTTTTAAAAATTTATTTGTTTTTTTTAATTTATAAAAATTTTTAGCTTTTATTTATAATAATACTTATTGTTTTTTTTAATTAAAAAAATTTCAAGAAGAAATTTTAAAATTGATTTTTTATAAAAATTGTCAGATTTTATTTATATTAATATTTAACATTTGTTTTTATTTATTAAAAAAATTTCAGGAAGAAATTTTCAAAAATTAAAAGCCAATTTTTGAAAATTTATTTTTTTTTTAATTTATCAAAATTATTAGCTTTTATTTATAATAATACTTATTGTTTTTTTTTTATAATTATTTAAATTTATTGCAGACAAAGTTGCTTCACGTCAGAATATTTCCGGGATTGTTTGGAAACTTTGACTTCCCACACAAAAAACGAAATAAGTGCGTTTAAAATTATGATTAAACGATTGCAAGGTTTTGAATAATTACTCTATTTATTATTAATTAATTATAATACTGTAATTATCAATAAATACGCATGGAAAGTTTGGTTTAATTAAAATTGTAATTGAAGAAATATTTTATTTGAAAATTCCCGCCATTTTGATGACCAGTTTAATTGATGAATTTGATGAATTAATAATTAATATTAATATCGAGGTCTATTGTGATCGGTGTTATCTTCTCGTTGTAATTTGAACACGGCGATTCCACAAATTATTCCCACTTTTGCTGCGACAACCACTTTTATCACTTTTGAGAACTTTATTGCCATTCTGAAAAAATAAACATAACTTTCAATTGATTTATTTAATTTTTAAAAATTTTATTTTTATAGTCAATATTTTTTTAGTATAATTTTATTGAAAAAATAAGTAGTACTTACATTGAATATTTTTTTTGTAGAATTATTAAAATTTATATTTTGTGAAGAAATAAATTTAGTGAGTTTGGAGTGAATTTTGTTGAGTTTGAATGACAAGTCAAAATGGAAAATTGATCTTGGTCAGATTAGATTATTAGTGTCTCATGTGATTCAGAGTAAGTGGGGAGTTTTTAAGAGAAATTAATGAATAATATTTAAAAAAAATTTTTTTAATAAATTATCATTTCTTCTTTTAAAATTATAAATTTATTAATCTCAATTATATTTTTAGCATTAGTAATTAAATAATTATTTTTTTCAAAGTACATCACCGTTTTATTGGTCATAAAATTGACCATAAAAATCCAGTAATTTTTTTTTATATTGATAAAAATACGGCGGAAATAATCAATGAAAATTTTTTATGACATAATTAAATTTATCTTTTTTTATCTAGAAAATTATTCTACAGAAAAATAAAAAAATGTTAGTTCATTTTTGTTAATTAAAATTTTTTAGTATTAAATGACAAATTTTTATGAATCATTGTTAAATATATATATCGTAAATTGAATATATACATAGACTATTAGAAAATTTTTAAAAATAAAATTTAAGTCGATAAAATAAAAATTACCTCAAGCTCAACATGATAGAAATGATTTCTTCTTTACCAATTCATGACAAAAATTCCACTAGGTGGCGCTACAAAAAAAGTTATTTTTTTTTATACATAACCTACAAAATTTAATTTTCTCCAAATAACTAGATGTAATAAGTGTAAAAATAAATATTTAATTATCAATAAATAAATTGTAAATTGTAGATAATTTATTTTCTTATGAAAATTATTAATAATTAAATTTAATAGGGAGAAGAATATGTTTTGTAATAAAATAATAAAAATGAGCAAAGTGTTGTCAAGCTGAGGTTAAGCCGGTAAAATTATAAATTTAAAAAAAGTTTATTATTTTGATTTGTTAAATAATTACTGTAATTGTAAATCACTTGTTAATTGTACGATAAATTAACATGGAAAATGTACTGTCAGAATTCAACCCACAGCAATTATTCACTCAAGTTCTTTCAGAGGTAATTTTTTTATTATACTAAAATTAGCTGTCAATTTTTTTTAATTTTTATTAATAAATTAAATTAAAAAAATTAATGACATTAATCTTAGGAGTTATTTAGCCATTTTTTAATTTTATTTAACAAACAAATTTATTCTGAAAAATTATACTTAAAAAATTGCATTTTTATTTTTTTTTTCTATTTTTTTTATGCAGTAATTTATTTCTTAAAAAATTTATTAAATATTTGCTACTTTGACTTTTATAAAAAATTATAAATCTATAAATTTTTGTAATTGAAAAAAAAAAAAAATTGTCAAATGTTTGCTAATTTTATTGTTACATTTTTTCATTAAATAAATTATTATTTATTTTTATATTTTACAGAGATTAAAAGCAAATAACCAGCAAATAAAAACATGGAGCGACTACAAAAAAAGACACGAGAAAGTTATCGAAGGTCTGGATGTTTTGCCTCAGGATTTATCAATAAACTGCATGGTTCCAATTGGAAAACGTGCTTTGATGCCAGGAAAATTAAACCATACTAATGAAATAACTGTTTGCCTGGGTGACGGGTACTTAGCCAAGTATACTGCCGCTCAAGCTAAAGCTCTGTGCAATCGAAGGATCAAAAGTAATTATCAATTTATTGATATTATAGCTTCTTTAATATCAGTTTAAAAATTAAATATAAATAATTAATTTACTTGCAGAAGCGGATGAAATGTTGGAGAATTTAGATAAGGAGCGTAGTCTGTATGAAACTCGATCAATGCTACCTAATTGTTTCGATATATTTAATAATGAGGACAAAAAAGACTTCAATGAGCACTGGGATGATAAGAAGCTAGATGATTGGAGACGTGAGTTGCTTTTTATACGATAATTACAGTTAAGGTGATAATCTGATTATTTTTTATAATTGGGGTTTTTTAGGTGAGCATAGAGAACGAGAAAAGGAGTATAGGCAGAAATTACGGGAATTGAAGAAAGATAAAAAAGAAAGTGAAATTAAAACTGAGGATGATTTGTTTAAGAGACTTGATGCTTTAGAACTTCAAGAAGAATTAGAAGATGAACTTCTTAGGTAATTTTTATTATTTTAATAATTATAATAATTTATTATATTAATTAATTAATAATATTCTTAATTTTTATATTTTTAAGATAGTATTATTATTTTCACTATTTTGGGAGAGATATTAAAAATATGAAAAAATGATAAGAAATTTTTTTATAGAGAATTAAATTTTTTATCAAAAAAGTGATTATCAATTTTTTTATCTTTGATATTTTAGACAGAATATTGATATAAAATTAAAAAATGTAAAATTTTGGTTATTATTATTATTATTTAAACATGGCAAAGTTGGCGAATAGTATTAATAATAATAATAATAATTTTTAATCTATATTATTAAGAGAATAAGCAAAATTTTGTGGCCAGTGTATTTATATGACAAAATTGGTTTTTATGATTAAATTTGGTATCGTTGGAAAAGTTTTGACCTGGAATTGTACTTTTTCATGGTTTCATATCATTTTCACCAATAGTCAATTTATGATGATAAGTATTTAGGCTGCATTCGAAAATGCTCTATCTCTAGATACATAATTAAGAAATGACCTTGAATCTCGCGAACTATTGACATTTTTAAAGATATAAGCTCATCCCGATGTTACACTCATCAAGACCTTTCATTTAAGTACCCACATCAATTTTTCATATATTTATATATATTATATATATTTATATATGTATATATGAAAAATATAGTAAAATGCATGTGGGTACTCAAATGAAAGCTCTTGATGAGTGTAACACCGGAATGAGCTTATATTTTTAAAAACGTCAATAGTTAAAAAAGTACAGTGAAATTTAACAAAAGTCATTATTTAATAAGGCCAAATTTTATTTATTTATAGTTCACAAGTCACGGCAGTCACATAGTGACTGCAAGGTTGCTAGTAATAATAATTTATTTTATTGAAATCTTTAATTTTTATATTTTTTAAGATAGTATTGTTATTTTCATTATTTTGCAAGAAATATTAAGAGAGATAGCCACTGTGAGAATCGAAAAAATAGGTGATTTTCGGGAATTTTTTTGACTGGGATAATGAAGGAATTTGGGGATCGGGTTTGTTTTTGTTTTATAAAGTATACATTAAAGATTATTTTCCTAAATTTTTATCAAAAAATTTCATGTTTTTATAAAGTTATTAGCATTTTTGTGGAGCACCACAAAAATTTCCCCCACCATGATGCGATCTCTAACTAAAAAACGGATTATCTAAAACAAAAAAACGAAAGAGCGTTGTAATCTGCATGCATGTGGATATCGTTTCACGTAGAGGATTTTGAAAATTTGGATTTAAAAAAAAATGGCGACATTAAAAATTTTTTCCTCACTTTTTTTAGTTTCAAACAGCTCTAAAAAATCTTAAAAATCAAAATTTCCAAAATCCCCTACGTGCAACTATAGCTACTGAATAGACGAATACGGGAAAAAAAAATTAGAAAAACGGTTCACCCTAAAGGCCATCCCTGCAACTTCCCGCTCATTTTGTACTTAAACGCTTCAAACTACACATTACGTTTTTGAGCTCTAAGAGCTCAAAAATATTATTTTTGTGTCAATTTGAGCTCTTCGAGCTCAAAACTCTAATAGCAGTTTAAAGACACAATTTTTTGAGTTTTCAAACGGCAATAACTTTTGAATGAATGAACCGATTTTCACGCGGTTGGCGGCAGTTGACGCAGTTTTTGAAGCTCCATGAAAAGTTTTCAAATTTAAATCGATCGAGCCATGAATTTCGAAGTTATTACAAAAAAACACTTTTTCCGATTTTTTTCGACAACGATATCTCACGAACGCATCAACCGATTCTGACGTTTTTGGTGGCGATCGATGAGGGTTTTCAAGGTTAAGAGCTGATTAGATTTTGAGACCGATCAGTTCAGCCAATTCGGAGATATTTAAAAAAATAAAAAAAAAACAACTTTTTTTTTCACTTTTTTTAGCATTTTCTCGAAATCTACCGGTCCGAATTGGTTCTAACTCTCAGGAAATCTAAGTTTGGTGAAGCCCTTTCGAATGACACCAACCGCGATGAAATCGGTCAAGTCGTTCAAAAGTTACAAGAGGTTTACACACACACACACACACACACACACACACACATACAGACGTAAGTCTACCGGTCCGAATTGGTTCTAACCTCTCAGGAATCTAAGTTTGGTGAAGCCCTTTCGAATGACACCAACCGCGATGAAATCGGTCAAGTCGTTCAAAAGTTACAAGAGGTTTACACACACACACACACACACACACACACACACATACAGACGTAAGGACATCATCGTAAAAATAGTCAGGGAAGCTTCCTGTGACCTTCAAACGTCGAGATCTGATGAAAACTCGATTTTTGTAAAACGGGGTGAAAACAATAACTTCCCGATTTTTGAAAATCTGAGATTTCTAGCGGGAAGTTAAAAATTGCAAATCCGTTCATATTTATGCAAATTACAGTTCTTATCAGTTCAAAAAAAGTAGTTTCGAGAAAAACGCTTTTTCGTCGGAGTGCCGCGCGTGTAAAGTCATTTGACGCGCTGTCACAACAATGATTATAACTAGGAAAATATTTGGAATTTTGATACCAAACTCTAGATACATATTTTTGAATCTATAAACTTGGATTTAAAAACAAAAAAAAAATTTTTTTTGTGAAATTTCACAGTAGTTATCCCCCTTAAAAATATGAAAAAATGATAAGAAAATTTTTTATATCATTCAAATGATAACAATTTTTTTACATCTTTGATATTTTAGACAGAATATTGATGTGAAATTAAAAAATACGAAATTTTGAATATTATCATTATTTTGTAAATACGGTAAAATTGGCGAATAGTATTAATAATAATAATAATAAAAATTTCTAAAATTTTTAGATTAGAAGCAGAAAATGAAGATAATGATGGAGAAGATGATGAATATTATGATGAATCAGAAGTAGACTCAGAATCATATTCTTCAGACTATTCTGAAGAAGCAACTAACGAAATCCAAGAGAAGAAATCATCTAAAGCTAATTATCGTTTACAAGTATTAAATAATGTAAATACGGGTCAATTAACTACTAATACTGAATATGAAGAAAAAGAAGAAAATTGCAACGACCAATCGGCCGCTGAAAAACAGGTGACAAATAAAGAAGAAAAAAGTAGTACAAGCAAAGATAATTTATTAGAATCAAGGACAGTAGACTGTAAGAAGGATAAGGACGAGGTGAGGGTCAAGGAGAAGAAGGTCGCGTTTGCTGAGCCTCAAGTCAAATATTTCAGCAACGAGGAAGAAATGGAGGTTGGCACCGACAAGAGGCGTATCTCGGTTATTGAGCAGAAGCTCTACGAATACTCTAAAGAAGACGACGATTCGGAGGACGAGAGCGACGAAGATGATACAATTAGAATTTACTTTAAGCACTCTGAGGGTGCGCCTAGCATACTAGTTTCCGAGGGCGACCAGATCGTTACTCCCAGAGATATTTACAAGACGATCCCGGGGCCTAAGTCTATTCTCAAGAAGACGCCTGACTTCAATAAGTCCGACGGCGACAATGTCAGTATTATCGACAAACAAAGTCACCTGACAAGTCTTGCCGACGAGAGCGAGGAAGAGGTCGAACACGGATTCGTTTATGATAACGTAAGTTTTAAAAGTTTACTTGTTGAGCTTTCTTGTTTCAGTTCTGTGTTGTATGTTAATTTTTCTTCCGTAGGTTGTTAAGGGGATTAAAGAACACGTGCCAGAGAAAAAAGTTCAACCCGAAGAGCTTACGGATAAACCTGCCGAACAGCCGCGACAAGCAAGACCGGTTAGCAAATTCAAATTGGAAAGAGCTGGGCTCAGGAAATAAATCGAAATTTTAATTCAATTTTTTTTTTCACTGAAAATTTATCGAGCAATTCACTAAGTTGATAAAATTTTTTTGATTCCTTGGTTATAAAATAAAGCTTCTATTTTTTAATAATTTTTTTACAAATTTATTTGGACCACAAATTGACAGTTTAAGGAAGTTCAAGGGTAACTGATGAGTCAAAACAATGTTAAAATTTGTTTTTAATTTTAGTCTTCCCAATATTCGTCAAAATTCTTTATTTTAATTTAAAATAATTTAAACAATTTAATAATTGATGATTTTTACTTATTTAATAAAATGTAGCTTCGTCCGAAATGTGCAGAAATGCAAAAAAAATTTTATACGCCCTTATGACTCCCGGGACCTATCTCAAATTATACGCCCTAATGGCACCCGGATGCCATAAGGGCGTATAATAAAAATTCTATTTTTTTTTCTAAGTCCAAAAAAAATTTTTAGTTTAGAAAAATTTTTTTTTTGCATTTTTGCACATTTCACGAAAAAATACGTCGGTTCCCAAAAAAAAATTTTTTTATATGCCTTAAGGGGTTAGGGGTAGTCAGAGACACGAAAAAATGAGAATTTTCAGTAATTTTTTTTTGCTATTAAATCATGTTATTTTACAAAAGTAATAATATGGCATTATTACACAATGTTTTGACTTGAATTCACGAAAATTTGGAAAAAAAAATTTATAATTTCCAAAGTTATAGCTGTTTGTGTTGACCTAGTTCCAAAAAAAGATGCTTGCGGTGACTATCACAAGTCCTTGGAAATTCATCAAAAATCAATCGGATGGAAAAAATTAGTTTTATAAATAGATTATCTTGGGCCTGATCGAAGCTTTTTTTTTTTTTTCAAAAATTAAGAAAACGGCGGCCTCAGGAAATTTTTTTCGAGATTTTCGGGAAAAAAATCAACAGTTAATTAGTCATAAAAATCGAAATTTTTGAAAAAAAAAAAAATCCTTCGATCAGGCCCGAGTTTATTATGTATTCTAAAAGCTGTATAAATTTCATTAAAATCTACCGAGTGGTTTTCGAGTTACAGTAGTCGCCAGTTCAAAAAACATAGTTTTGAGAAAAACGCATTTAAAGTTTCTCATTAGATTTATGTACAGTAATACGCTCTTTGTTATTTGTCAAATAACTCGAAAAGTAATTATCGGATTAACTTCAAATTTTCAGAGAATATTTTTAAAATATTATACTTAAAGAAAATGCAAAAAAAATCGATTTTTTGAAAATTCTGACTACCCATAACCCCTTAATGACATCCGAGGTGGGTCCCGGGAGCCATAAGAGCGTATATAAAAATTTTTTTTTCGGAAATCAACTTATTTTTTTTTTAAATGAAACGTGCAGAAATGCAAAAAAAAATTTTTACCAAACTAAAAATTTTTTTTGGACAAAAAAAAATAGAATTTTTATTATACGTCCTTGTGGTTGCCGGGTGCCATTAGGGCGTATAATTTTTATACGCCCTTATGGCATCTGTAACGCGATATTAAACTTCAAATTAAAAAAAAATCAAGCTTTTTATCAAAAGTTGCCTTGGTGCTCCTACTACCTTAATATCAGGTAAATTTTTTTTTTTTGAATTGTTTAGCTTGCTGATAAAATATTAGTTCTTGAATTAAATACTCGATTATTTACTTAACTGGCGTTGTTAGAAACTTGAAATTAAACAAGATTACCGAGTTTGCATAGTGTATTAACAGGGATTTCCAAAATTCAATACTTAGAGCACAATTAAGCTGCGGGCTGAATCCATCAAAGTTATATTCATTACAAAATTTGTGTCGATAAATTTTCAGTGAATTTACGACTTAAATAAATTATATTAATTAATAAGACTAATATAGTATATTTTATTTCATCTTTATTTAAGATAATTATATTTTTATTACAGCCACATTTAAAATATAAAATAAAATGTTGATATAAAAAAAGTTTTAGGGAGAGATTTTTTGTACCTTATTGAATGTAATAACTTTGCCCGGTGAATAAAGGGAATTGTTAATAGTTGAAACACAAGTATTTTAACTAAGCGGTATTACTGTGAGTCTGTTCCTTAAAAACTTCCGTATCACTCATTCAAACTTATATTTAAGTCTCTTCAAAAAGTTTAAGCGCTCCCCAGAGTTAAATAAACTTATTTTTTGATTCCACCCAACCCGAGAGGACTTTTTAGGTTTTTTATTAACGGCAACTTGAGTGATAAAAAAAAATTAAACTTTAGATCCACTGAAAAATAAATCATTCATATTTTTTATAAAATTTCTTTATCAGAAATAAAAAAAAAATTTTTTACAGACTTAGACTGATGTTTCAATTAAAAATTGTTATTTTTATTAAGTTTAATTAGTATTCCACTGAATTATGGTCAAAGATTATCTTAACTAAATATTATTAATCCGAGAGAAGCATATTTACTCGGTAAGTGCAAGAGTTGTGTATTTTAGCTTAAAGACAGTATTTACTCGATAATTTTAACGCTCCAGCGCTTAAAAAGGGTATTTTTTTAATAACTCGGACATATATCAAATTTATGGGTCTAATGACCATTTCACTTGAGTAAACTTTCGTCGATAGTCCCACCGAGTCAACAATCCATATACTATACATGAAGATCCCAACGGCTGTAAATTTCCGAATTGAACGGTTTTGCCCTAAAGTTACCGCTTTCATTAGCTCCATAAATTTTTCAAAATAACTTTATTGCGATCGTTTCGTTATTTCGGAGTTTAATATTAATATTGACCCTCGACTTATCATTTTTCTGCAGTCCCAGAAGAGCGCGTAAACATTATTTTTATCTCCGATAAACTGAAAAGTGTAAAAATTTATTAAAAAAATGAAAAATAAAATTTTTTACTTATTTTTAGTTTTTTAATTTTTAAATTTTTGAATTGAAAATTTTCAAATTTAGATAATTCAAATTTTTAAAAATTTTTAAGTATCATTCTCAAAAGTTCAATTTTTACAGTAAAAAATTGAAAAATTAAAATAAAATTTTTTTTTCATCCCAAAAAAAAAAATCAAAATAAATTTTTCTTCCCTGTTTTTTCAGTAAATTTTTTATTTCCAAAATTCCTATTTAAGGAGATTCATCGGACAGAAAAAGACACCAATAGATTATGGCTATTGGTTTCTTTCTCACGCGCTAGTGCTGCCTCTCTTTACAGACTATCGCTTACTTACTTCCACTCACGTAAAATATCGAAAGTCGCTAACTTCAAACATTTTTTATAAAAAAATGAATACCGCTCGTTTATGTTATTTTTGATAAAAAATACTTGTTACATATAACTTCAATTAAATATTCTCAGTTTTTCAAAAAAATCCTAAGAAAAGTATGATTGTTATTCAATAAAATGTTCACTCTAACTACGGTCAGGATAGGGAATGCATGTTAGATGTACGATTTTTAATTGTTAATATTTCAAAAATTAGCACCACAAGGACTATTAGAAAAAATTTATTCATATAGAGAGGACACTTAAAACCACGCGTATTTAAAAATTGAAGAATATTCTGGGAAAAGTGATTTTTCACGGAACTTCCTTTAGAAAAAAAATTTTTTGGAATTTTTAATTTGATACATTATTTGAGAAATAAAAATCATCTAAAGTACTAAAATAATTAAAAGACACTTGTAAAAATAAAAAAAAAAATTAAGAAGAAATTTTATAAAATCTATATAAGATCAATAAATAATCAAAACAACTAACCCTGTGATTTCCATTAAAATAATTGACAATTAATCTGCTGATATAATAACCAATCAAACTAATGAGATTTTCGTGTTCGAATATGTCAATTAGGATTATTATAGATATGTCAATGCGGGTGATTTATTGCTGATGCAGAAGCTGACACCGTGTTAAGAGTAGTTGGGAGGGACATATTCGAAGGCTTAACTCTTTTCCCATGATCTATAAAACAATAATAGTCGACCAGAGAAATTCGGTGATCATACTTGAGAGCAAATGTTTGATCAGAACCAGAATGTACGTACGAAACTATGAAGTGCGCTTTTAAAAAGAACTCTTTGATATTTAAACCTTTGATATGCCACATTCTGCAGAGAAGTATATCCTCATAAATACAAACTCGGTACCCCAGAATGTGTTCTTATGCTCAAAAGATAAACCCAACTAAATACAATACAATAGAGCTCAAGGGATATTTGACAAGTGGTACTGGAGATGCTGGTGCCCGCACTGCTGTTTGTTTATAAATTTTTCTGACAAATACTCCGGATTTTTGTGTTTCTGTATTGAAATATTTCATTTATTTCTACCGCTCATATTTCATATTTATGCTTGCAATTGAACCGCAGCTATCAATTATTTTAAAACGTCATCTGGAATTCGAAATAATAGATATTGACTTACACAATTATCCTTCAAGTTTTTGTACGAAACAAAACTCGGTGAATTAATACGAAATATAATTATCGTTTTACAGCAATTGAAAGTTTTTTGAAGCTAACTTCTTCCTCAATATCTTCATCAAAAGTTTTCTAATTTGATTCTTTAAAACATAAAGTTTTCTGTTGATATGACTTCGGTAAGTCGGAATACAAGTAATGATCATTTTTAATTTATCATATTCTTTACCGAGTAGTTAATTATGTCTTATTTCAAAGGAAAAATCAATTATTATCTATTCTTTTTGATATTGAATGAGAGAACCCATAAAGCTTAGTTAACTATTAATTATTATCTTTTATAAATATTTTCATCGAATATGTACATTATAAATTATGATTAATATTTGATATTATTTAGTGATGCTTTGTATGTTCAAAGTTTACTACAGTAATAATAATTTTAATTATTCAATAACGGATTACTTTGAAAAATAGATTGAGTTATTATAATCCCGCATGAAAAAGCTATATATCCTTCATCATATACAAAAAATTATATTTTATATATATAAAAATATATGTGATTATATAAGGACCCATATGTAAAATTTTGCCGTTTTATATATACAATAATAATATATGTAGTATTATGTATTGATGTTATACTCATAACATATGTTTCAATTATATTTTCAGCTATATATGATTAAATATATCGTACATATTATAATCAACACTATATTATAAATAGTATAAGAACAATGTATTTTTCAGTATAATTTAAAATATACTTTAAATTATATGTTCAATATAATTTTAATATTGGCATTAGTACCAAAATAACAATAGAATGCTGAGGCCAAATAATTCTCTGAAAAAAAGTTATAAAAAAAAAAAATATTTCGTGATGTGTTACGAATTTACTGAAATTCAGATTTGCTTCGACCGTAAACTCGATTGATCAAGTTGCTCTTGAAATATAAGATATGCGACAAACTATTAATTTTTTTTTTTTTATTAATCTTTCCGTTTTGAGCTATTTCAACATATCATAAATATCTGGTATTATGTATGGTATTTTACAATAAAATAATATATATTGCCATATAATTAAAATTTTATAAATGAAAGTACACAGTAATAATCTATTTCAACATATATTTTACGAAAAATATATTTATCTGTTATATAGTTTTCTATATAATTAATTTTTATATAATAATAGTATATTTTATAACATACACTAAGTAATATACGGCACTAATATATTTGAACTTATATTGAATCAAATATATCTTCATTATATTAACAAAATATTTATTATTTGATATATATAACTTTGCCGCTATATATGATCACATATTCCCCATATAACTTTCCATATATGTTCAACCATATATAATTTTTTCATGCGGGATGCCAAAGGGTGGATAAAAAAATTTTTGTTTTTTTGATAAATTTTAACATTTGGATAATGGAAAAAAAAATTTTATCAAAAGGGAGTTTAAAAAAAATTTATTTTATAACTTTTTGTTTAAAAAATTTACAAAAATTTTTATTTTTTTAAATTTTCATAAAAATTTTGTATTTCTAATATTGCTAAAGTGATTGAGCAAAAAAAAATTTTTTTTTAATTCTGCAAAGCCTAAAAGAGCACGCACTTTTAGCATTAGTAACGCGTTATTAATATATTAATAATTTTATTACAAAGGAACGAGCCTTGAGATTTCTGGCAGATGTAGTCAGGATGGACGATGACAGGTGGACAAAAATATGCATAAAAAATGAGATGAGAGAGATAATGAACAAGAATCCAACAAAGTGGGGAAAAACAATAGAAAAATTTTTACAAAAAATAGGAATTGGAGAACTACCGAAAATGATTTATGAGGGTTGCAGCAGTGACGACGTGGAGGAAAAAATAAAAAGCGGATTAGAAAATTATAAGTGGATGTTAGATGAAAAAGAGGAGATACTAATAAAAAAATCCACATACAACGAGCTATATAAAAATATAAAAACGGAGGAAAGCAACAACTATTGGAAAAGAGACAATATAAGGAGTGAAGATAAAGAAACATGGGCTAGATTACGATGCGGTAATATTTGGAGGGAAGGAAAAAAAGGGCAAAATAACTGGGGGTGCAGAATTTGTGAAAAAGAGCAAGAAACGATTATTCACATTATAAAGTGCAAGGAAATTCATGAAAAAATAACAGTGGAAGGCAAACAAGCAAAAAATAAATGGCTAGAAGAGGTAAATAACGATGTGTCCAGTGAATTAATGATAGAAACTTTAAAAGGGGAGATAAAAAAAGACTTATGTACATTTATAAGAGATGTAGAAAGAGTATTTAAAGAAAAGGCACTAAATAACAAAAATTGTCAAGGCGCTGCGGACATATAATGTATACTAAAAAATGCAAAATTAATTATAAGAGTAAGAACAGAAATGTGATACTAGTAATTTTGTATAGTATAAAATTATTATTTGTTATAAAAGCTGTAAGGAGTGTGATATACTAGATTAAATCAAAGATAATTGTAAGTGGATGTAAAATAAAATAAAATGTAGTGTAGAGAGTGGTGTGTACTTATAAATAACTAAGAGCGTTCCAAAGAAAAATGAGTAAAAAGCAATTATTTTTGTAAATGTATTATGGTAACAGTTTTGTAAAACACTAAATATGGTGATACAAATAAAATTATATTCTATTCTAATAATTTTATTACTGAACTTTGCTTTATATTAACGTACTTAAATATTTAGTTATCCATTAAAAGTTTTTTTTTAGATAGCAGATTAAAATTACAAATAAAAATATTTCCTTTTAACATCAATCAATTTATAAAAACTTCAATTATATTTCTACTGCAAGAAAAGTGAGATTAAATAATTTAAAAACTTTAAATTTAAAGAATAATTTATTTTTTACGAGGCAAGCTAAAAGAAAAAACCTTTTAAAAAAATTCCACGTACTCCAGAAATAAAAATTTGACGACTATTATCAGCAGGTGCTTACAATAACAACCATGATATTAAGAGAATCACTTGTAATGATAATAAATAAAGTAAAGACGGGTAGTGATAAAACAATGTGTTTGCATCGCACGTAAAAACAGGCAGCTGTTAGTCCAAATAAAACATACCGGTAATAGTTTCTCGACCTGCGCTCTGGACAGTTCTTGCCGTGGGATCCGCCACCGAGGGTGGTTGTATTCATCCCTTCAGTCTGGCGCCGCGTGCGAACCTTCTGAGAGCTCGGATCCGACTGCTCAGCCCGAAAATAAACCGATCTTTTCCTCGTACCCACTCAAACTTTTAATTTAAAACTATGCTTTATCTTTACTAGCCACCAGCCACGCAACCACTCGAAAAATAATGTAAAATTACTCTAATTAATAAAAATTATTATTATCGATCAGAAAAATCGAGTGTAAATAATTTAACGTGGAACATTAGTCACGGTGATTTGTGGTCCCTCGGCAGCTAGAGGAATTTAATTTGACACGAGTACCAGCTAGTGTAATAGTTTGTTCATGCATATATTTAGAGCACGAATGTGTAAATATATACTGAACAGACAAGTGGCAAAGGAATGAAATGAATCTACCACCTGGTACCTCTCGAGCTTATTCAAGGTCATGCCTGACCTTGAATATTAATACTGATATCGATAAAAATAGCAGAGAATGATAACGAAAAATCATAGTCATTAGATATCATTTAATAATGTATAATGACCGATTGTGAGCTCGAAGGAGAATCTCCGGCAGGTACCAGCACTATCTCCAAGAAAAAACAATGAAGATCTGGGGTGTTATCATTAAAATACATCTATCTATCACAATAACCGTATCGAGTGTCCTGACGCTGTCTTCGCCAGGAATCGAGAAGCCTCGAGAGATACTTCGTCATCAGCAGACACACCGACCGCTTTTCATCGATCGGCGTTTGATCCAGCACGACCCAAAGATTCCCTCGTCTGGTCCCTTCTGGTCTCTGGCGGAAAATAAAGAGTTTTACGAGTACAACAAAAAGCCTGGTCCTGAAGAATACCAGCTGGATAAAGTCGACGAGGTGAAGCTGGTCAAGGTGGAAGCCGCTGATGAAGGACACTTTGCGAAAGCCGGTGTCGAGAAGCCTCAGATAAGACATGGAAGGTCGCGCGGGCACTTGGGCAGGCCCAAGAAAATCGAAGAGCCTGAAATAAAGAGCACTTTCTCCTCGGTCGCCTTCGATCAATTAAAGGGGTATGTTGATGTTAATTTGTTCGAGGGCGATGGATATAATTACGAAAACGTCGAGCCGATTTACTCGAAACTGGTCGGCCCGAATGACACCCTCTACGTGGACGTCGACGACTTCAGGGTGAGTAACTTCAGTAAGTTTTTAAGCGGTGACAACGACCACGAAGTAAGGCGCACCGAATTGGGGAGGAACCTTGACAGCAATTCAAAGCCGCATTTTGTTGAAATTTCGAGGATAAGCGAGAAGGACAGGGAATTGGTTCACGAGAGCAGCACGAGGGTTCATGATGTGTACGGAGTCTTGGTTCACCACCCGACGGATCTCAAGGGAGACGAATATGTCGAGCGCGTGGACACCGACTACGTCTACGAAGAACTGGGGAAGAATTTCAATGACTCGGAAAAGGAGAGGGAAAATTTGGAGGAGCTCGTGAAGAAAGACAAGCCGGCTGTCCAAGACGATATTGTCACGCGGTTCTTGAGGATTATCGAGAACCAGCATCTTCTCGGGGAGAATTGCACCGCGGGGACTGACCTGAACCTCGGTGAGGGCGTCGTCGACCAGTACGCTCAGGAAAGGTTCAGGCTGGAGGCGAATTTTGCGGTGAATCGGGCAAATATGCTGACTCGGTTGTGGAAGTATGCGCCTGAAGTGATGCTGTCCTCGGAGTATTTGCTCCACGCGAGTGTCTTGTCGATGGTGGAATTTGATGAGGACATATTTGCGGCCGGGAACTGCTACGACAAGATGCAGTACAAGGACCACTGGCTCTATTGTCCCTTTGCACACAGGCTCCCTGATCATGACGGCGTGCTTGTCAAGGATTTGGCTATCGAGTACAAGTATTTGAGCAACAGCAGTGAGTGGTTTTACATTGCAAGGAAAAATGCTGAGAGAGTTATTGCTAGCAATAATCAGTTCAGTCATGGTAAGTTTTTGATATTTTTTTTCTCGTTTTTTATCACACAAAATATCATTTTTTATTTGTGAAAAAATTGAAAATTGAAAAGAAGTAAAATTAATTGTTCAAAGTATTTTAGTTCGCTTTTGATATTAATAATCATGAGAACGGATGTATCCAATATATATGAAAACATATGTCAAAACATAAAAAATTTTTCATTAATATGTTTTCAACGAAAATAGATATATTTTTTTTACAAAAAGAAAATAGTGAATTAAAAAATTTTTTTTGTCTTCAATTCAATATCTATTATATATATTATATTTTCATTAAGGTTGTCCAAATAATATTCAAACAATTGCTATCTAAAAGTATGAAAAAACCTCCTAAAAAATGTGGAGTGAGACAATTTGTAAACTTCGATATGTTTTCATATTTATTAAATATACATATTTGTCCGTATAAAAAGAATGTTTGGTTAAAGTAAAGAGAAGTACTTTTAGAAATAAAATTTGTTTGCATACTTGTGTTTGATTTGTGAGAAATTTCATGTTTTCCTATGTATTGATCAGTTTCTGCCCAAATAAACTTAAATTATTTATTAGTATTGATCAAGCACATTCATCTCTGATATAATATAATATAATCTAAGTTTATGCAGTCGAAGTACTTGAATTTCAGTGACACAAACTTTACATAACTTCGGTGGAAGTTCAAAATTCCGACTTTGAGAAGTTTGATAATAACCAAAATTTATTACTAAAATGAAATTATCTTTGGAAAAAATTTCCGCAAAATCGGTTCATTTTAAAACGAAAGTCAGTAATGATTAAGGAAGGATTTAAAATATGAATGGCCTTAGTGTTCTCTTCTATTCTGTCTGTTCGTGTAAAAAATTATTGATAAGGTGTTATCGCATGAAAATGAAAAAGAAATTCAACAGCCGGAGGTTTACTGCAAGCAGTGATACCGAGTGGAATGTTTTTTCCTCGTCCCGAGATCAATTAAAAAAGTTATATCTAATCGATAAATTTTAATAGAAATTCTGGTTTTATGTTTAATAAAATTTAACTGCAAGGTGTGTAAAAAGAAAAAATAAAATTTTCTTGGTAAAAAATGTGTCAACTAATTGTAACTTTGATTGGCTGACAGTTTAAATGATTACTCAAAGTTTCTTCAAGATAGAAAAGCTTTACGAGATTCTTTCATTGAAAACTTTTCTCATAGAACAAGCGAGATGATCTTTCGGATTTATACTATAAATTTTTTTTATTCTCTGATTTTATCGTTTATATTATTATCTGTCATAAATAATATTGTTATTGCTCGAAAAAATTTATAAATATTTATCAGGCTAGTTCTTGGTCAGAATTTTACAGAAATTTTCTGACACTTGAAATCATTTTGTAAGCAGTAAAAAAATCCCTTGTTACTTGTTACGCTCCTTAACAAGGATTTTAGAGGTGGTAATTTTATGTTTGTCGTAAAAGTACAAAAGAGCTTTCTCTATTTGTCATTTTTTAGGACAGGAAATTTCAAACTCCAAAGTATTCAGATTATTCTCTTTGAAGAGACATTTATCTTTTTTTTTTGTGGGACAATTTTCGCATGAAAAAAAGATTTTTTAGAACGACAGTAATTTAATTGTAAGTGGGTAGACAGAAGACATATATAACATTAGCATATATGTAAAAGTTGTGTGTGATAGGCAAAAGTAAAAAGATAATTAAGTGACCTAGGCTTTTTCATGTGGCTAATCAATTTCATGAAGGCCGTAAGCCGCAATCAGATATACGTGTATATGTAATTCCCGGAATAGTTCTATGCTGGAATGATAATGATAATCGAGTAATATATGTATATATAACATATATATATATAAATAAGGCAGGATAATAGATAATATGCGAAGTAGACTGTTAAGCAAAGTTGTTGCATTTAATGCTACAAAATGATTATTTTAATGATAATGAACCTATATCAACGGATATTAATATTATATTTTGTCATAGTTACTGTGAGTAATAAGTTTATTGAGTTAGGGCACTTTGTTTGTATCTAGCTACGCTTGTAGTATGCTCTGTATTGTATATTGTACATTGTATATTGTGCATTGTGTTATCAAAGACATCCGCTTTATTATTAAATTTCTAAGTAGACCTAGGCGTACAAACATTTCTCTGCATCTTGTATTCAGTTTGTGATTGTTGATTCGTATCAATATTATATTCATTGCGTTACATTCATATTA